GCCGAAAAAGAGCGAACGCATAGCGTGAGCGATACGTACACCGCAGATACGAAGGGTATTTTTTCCTAGGGGAATATCACGCTTAAATTATTTCAAATATTTCTAATGTTGAGTCCAAGTGCTCATACTATAAATTTATATGACAGATAACATTTTGAAACGTTTTTATTCTGCATTTGGCTGGGGTGTTTGGTCAGATTCTTTAAATTTATGCCAAATTGATGCAAATAGAACAAAATGTACCCATGATTTCTTCATTTTTTCAGTTTGATAACAGTTTCAATTTTAAAGTAGACTATAAATTTATTGGGTATAATATAAAATTTTTTTTTGCTCTTTTCTGTGTTTTTTCGAAAAATTTCAGTCCTATGGAATGAGTTAGGACAAATAATGACGATTTGCATCAAAAACCTCATTGATTTCATCAATTTTTTTGATTTTTTTGAGTTTTTTCGGTGAAAATTGATTTTTCTGAAATTGTTTTTTTTTCGACTTTCCTTTATTTTTTTTGCAAAATTTCAATCGAAAGGAACATATTAGGGCCTAAAAAGAAGTTTTACATCAAATTTTTTCAATTTTTTCGACTTTTTGTAATTTTTTTGCAAAAATTTCGGGGTCCTATAATTTCGCAACTACTCGAAACAGAGCAATATTGCCTGAAGCAACTTATTAGTACTCCTCAAGTGCTTTGCATGTCAACTACTGAAAGTGCTAAAAGAGTTCTAAAAATGTACTAAAAAGTACTAAAATTTTCAAACCCTTTATATGGCTGTGGTAGACTCTGGGCGATGGATTACTGCACGAAATCATGTTAAACGTACAGTATTGGATCGTGATATACCCTACTGAGCGTTACCTAGCTATTATATTAATATTTGAATAGAAAACTTGTCCCTTATCTTCTATGAATTTCACAGTCCGACGAATGTTTTTTTTTCATTTGGTTCCAAGGCTGGACAAGTACCAAGCAAACTAAAATATATTTATCTCGGTATTTTAGAGCCAACCAGTATAACCAGAACTGACTTTTATCTTCAAGACTTTGAAAAATTTGATAAAATTCAAATGCCCGTCCGTCCGTCCTAAATTTTCAAACGGACGGACAAAAAATTGTGTCCGTCCTAAATTTGTAAAAAGACGGACGGACGGACAAACGAGTGTCCGTTTGACACCTTTATGCAAAGAACTGTTTGAATATCGGCGATAATTTGCACATTTTTTCGAAAATATTTCGCCACTCCAATATTCCTTCAATTCTGCTATCACAGCGAAACTTTAGATTTCACGATACCCTTATTTCAACTTGATTCGCTCGACTTTCCGATCCTAATAATCGTACATGCGCTTAATTTGAGCGCTTTTTGTTGATGATTTTGGTTAAGATGATCAAGTTAACATAGAGTTTAAATGATTTATGAGAAGATAAGATATGAAACGTACTTTGTATTCTTATTTCAATATTCATCTCGGATTCATCTACATACTTTTGCCATTTATACCAGACAAATGATATAAATTTACTAATATATTCAGTAATATTTGTCGAGACGGCAATTAGCATGTGATTTCATGTGAAATGAGCATTCACTACAATTAGACATAATGAGACTACACTTGGGATGAAATATGGTAATATCAAGTAACACTTTAATTTTCATCGTATTTGCCTATCTTCGCCATAATTTATAAGTTATAGTTTTTTTTAAATTTAAATAGACTCGGATAAGATCCTGGTTAGAGACACTTTAACATGATTCATATTTAAGTTATTGTATTCAGTAATTTTGACTTCCTAGTTACAATTTGTTCTTTGTCACCTTTGTTATGATTTATTGTGTTTATTTTTGTTTGTAAGCTTGATCATCAATTGGTTTACCTAGCTTATAATTAAAAGCTAAGTACAATTCGGTTTATTATAATTGGCCAAACCGAATTGTATTTAGCTATAGTCTTTTATAAATAGTATTTAGTAACTAACGGTAGACCTTTATTAGTTTTGACTTCATCAAGAAACCATTCGTGCCAGGTTCACCAATTTGTATTTAAATGAAAAGTTGACTCTTTGTATTTGTTTCGAGTGTAAAAAGGCAACTTTATTAATAATTTCACTTTATTTGCTCATAATTTTCATAATTTCTGCATAAGATTTTCCGCGAGTCTCCGGAAGGAAAACTATGCTAAAAACCAGGTGAATTATACATATAACACCAAACGTACTCAAACATAAGAATGGACCAAATTTTTCGAGAAAAATTGGAAATATTGATCCAAGCACGAAAAGAATGATCCAATACAGTGAAATGGCCAGTGCAAGGGATGTCTGCCGTATCTAAAAATCCGAAATCTTTTGTATGAATACACTGAACGAACGAAATTCCACACATTTCACATACCTTTTTCGGAAATATTTCAGTCATGACGATAAAGGGTATAGGAATCTGACCTATCCAGCTAAAGTAAGTGATACATGCAAAGCACATCGTTGGAACCCAAGAAATCCCTTGATATTCGGGTTGATTCATCCAAAGCAAACAATAGGTTGCATACAGGAATAAACTGATTATGGTTAATAATGATGAGCAAATCAGCAGCGTCTGTGATGAATACGAAATATATGCACTGAATATAATGATCACTGTTGGTGTTGGTAGAAGGTCAAATTCATTTTTAAGGTTTCGAGAGATAATATTGTTAGACTTTGAAACTTTGTCAAATGTTAAGTAAGTCAAGTTGAAATTAGAAGATATTTATTTAAGCTACATACTCTCCGATTGATTCTGTCGACCAAATTCAAGAAAGATAAATTTGCGGCTATTTGAGTCACGGAAATTAAAATTGAAGAGTCTTTTGGCGAGAGTGAGGAGCCAGTTTTGGAAAATATATCTGTCACATAGCTGAGAATCAAAATAGTGCCACTACAATAGCATAACGCTAGTCCAGTGAATGCAACGAAGAATGCTCTCTTTGCTTGCGTTGTTTCTATATTGAAGAAGAAGAATAATGATTTTTCAATCATTACATACAAAATACACTGATTGGATTGAAAAAAGTCATCCATAAAATTGCTGAAATAATTACGAAAATCTCGAAGGCACAATTTCGGTTCGGATTCAGTTTCATTGTTGGTCTTTTCCACATTTCCCTTTTCAATTTTTTCCTCTTTCTGTTTCTGTAGGAATTCACCGTGTTCTAGCGCTGCGATACTTCCTTTGTAAAACTTATGTGCTTCCATCGCTCGCTGAAAAAATAGAATAACATTTCAAAAGGATCGAAATGTTAAAAATTCTTTCAATTTTACCTTGTCTTTATTTCGAATAGTCCAATATTCGGGTGATTCCGGTAGGAAAAAGAGTATAATTATGGCAATAACCGGTGTTATCATTTGCACCTTCGCTTGGTCCATCCAACTTAAACAGTTGCCAAGGAAAAATGATACGATTATTCCGGTATTGCACAATGGATCTGTGAGTGAATTCAAAGCACCTCGCACCTTGTCATGCGAGATATCGCTGACCAAACTGGGTACACTAACTGATAAGACACCACCACCAAAGCCGCATAAAATTCGTGCAATATAGAGATAGTACACATTTTGTGCCCAAATTATAAGTAAAGCGCCAAGCTGGAATGAAAATTCACAATTATTCTTAGCTCGGTCCCATTTTTTCTCTCTCTGAATTCAGGTTTCTTACAATAAATGGCACGCCAAATATGTGGATTGATCTCTTAGCGCCAATTTTGTGAATTATCGGCAATGCTGCAAAATTACCGGCCTATTAAAACAAATTTATAATTTTTATATTAAAAAAAAACCATCCAATAAATGTATTATTAATAATTCATTTATTACCACCCCTCCCAGATTTACTGATGCCACCACCATGCTTGCCTCTTGCAACGTCAACGGACCCGATGGAAAGGTGCTGTTCTCACTTTGAAGCTCGATAAAGTTTATCGTGGCCCATCCGGATGCATTTCCAAATGAGAATGCCAATAAATTACCTTTTTCAAATGAATGCATGTTTTTTCGACGACCATTTTATTCCGTTTGGAATATTTTACCATCGAAACATGATATTTTAATAAAATTACTATTTTCTGAGGGTCGCAATATGATTGTTCAAAATTTTCATTTACACTTACAACTAACTATGGTGAGGAATTGTTTGAATATAGGGGATATTTTGCACATTTTTTTCCAAAATATTTCCCCAAAATTTTCCTTCAATTTTACTTTCACGGCGTAGCTATAGATCAACGATTTTCGCAACCTTTGATGCGGCCAAACTTCAAATGATAACAACAGTAGGCAGTGCGTATCTCGCACGCCTAATAAAGATTTTTTTTGTCAATGATTTTGCTTAGGATCTTAGAATTGCATAAAGTTTCCATGATTTTGCCAAAAAGATAAGATACGCTTCATACGTATCTGAACGGAATTTATTTTTATTATCCAAAATAAATGATGTTATTTAACGACATCATCTCTCTCGTCGAGATGACAATTGGAATTTAATTCAACAGGCATCTTTTTATCACACTTGTTTGCAATGATCTTACACCTGAAAAGTTGATCTAGAAACATCTGATTTTGTGCAAATCGAGAGTTAATTATGGTATCGTTGTGTTGATTGGTGGTATTTGAATTACAAAATCCATGGTAATTGTGGAATATTATTATTCAGCTTATTTCCTCGACTAATTTTAACATTTATTTTTGGATTTTCTATGACGTATTATCCTTATCAAGGATTTAATGCTTTGATCATATGACAGTTTATTTACAAAGAGCAATATGTTTGTTTCATGACCATCAAAAATGAATATTGCGTATTATACTTCAAATAATGGAGTGTATGCCTTTATGATTGTTAAGCTTATGCCATATGAACGGATTCACCAAGAGATGACGCGCCAATAGTTCCATCTGCATCGGACAACCAATCACACAATGTCAAAAACACAAAACGAGCGAATTCGTCGCCGCAGTGCTGAGACAGCAAATCATATCACCTCACACCATTTACTTACAGTCAACCCGCTCTCCGAACAACACACAAATCGTCCACCCGCTCTTCGAGCAACACACAAATCGTTTCCACTGTTACGCAGTGAGCGATACATTTTTTTTACATCGAATATTCATCGACCACACAACACACATTTATCGTCGGCTCCACTGTCCCGCAGTGAACGACATTCATCGATTCAGCAGAATTCAATCGCAGCAATTCATTTTCGATCGAATCATTTTTGTACTCAATTTTTTAATCATTCACTCAATATTCCAAATCAGTTCGTTAAGTACATTCAGAAACAATTGCACACAATTTTTTACGCATCCATTTTATTATATTTATTTTCATTTTCAATTTGAGAGAAATTCATTAAATTAAGTGTTAAAGAAAAGAAACAATCGGGTCTTGTTTTATGAACTCCAAATCTATAGTTGACCTACAACACCATAAGTTTCATAATTTCATCATAAGATTTCCCTCGAGTTTCTGGAATGAAGAATATGCCAAACAGAAGATTTACTACACATAAAGTGCCCAATGTTAGCATACAGTTGAACAGACCATATGTTTCTAAAAAGATCGGGAATATCATTCCAAGTATGAAAAATACAATCCAGAACAATGAAATGGCAAGTGCTAGACATGTATGCCGAATCTGGAAAAAAATAAATAAAATAATCCACATGAAAACAAGAAAATAATCATGAAACGATGCATGGTAGTAATAAGCGTGCTTTTCTCAGCTGTTTGTGACTGAAGAAAATAAATTATGTTTATATTTGATTTAGCTGACTCTGAGCACATTACCTTTTTCGGGAATATTTCAATGGTAATAATGAATGGAATGGGAATCAATCCCAACCAACTGAAAAGTACGATGCACGTAAATAAGGTTGTTGGCATCCAATCATAATTCGGTTGATTAATCCAAAACGAGCAATAGATTGCAAACAAGAAGAAACTGATGGTCGTCAGTATGGATGAACTAATCTGAAGGGTCTGCAAATAAAAATGTTATATAAATGTGAATGAGCGAGCTTATTTTGGTTTGAAGAGAAATCGAGGATTTTCAATTTCTTTTTGCTCAAACATTTGAGCCTTTTCATTCCCAAGAAAAAATTCACACTGAATTAACGTTGCGTTAACGCATATCTGACACTGTTCTCACACGGTTTTGAACGTCAAACCGTGTGGCTATAGTATAATAGAGTGTGAAGCCGTTTGACATCATTTTTGATTTTAAATAACCGTGTGGATGCAGTGTATGTTTGTTCGGATATCAAGAGTCGACACCAAAAATGGTTTCAAAATTCGCCATGATAACGCAACGGTCATACACTTCGGCGACATGGTTTCAAATGTAAAACAGTGTGGCGGACTTCCACACTGTCCAATACAAAAACATAAACTGCATCCACACGGTTAATGGACATCAAGAATGGTGTCAAACGACTTCACACTCTACTATACTATAGCCACACGGTTTGATGTTCAAAACCGTGTGAGAACAGTGTCAGATATGTATTAACGCAACGTCGATTCAGTGTGAATTTTTGCTTGGGATTGAATGCTACGTGGTAGCACTGCTACATACCCTTCGATTAACACGCTCTACGATGTAAAGGAATATACAGTTTGCAATAATTTGAACAACGGACACAAGAAGTGAAGAGTTTTTCGGTGATAACGAAGATCCGGTTTTAGTGAAAATATCGGTTACATAGCCAAGAATCAACATCGAACCGGTCAAGAAACTCAATATGAGTCCCACGAATGAGATAAAGTATGCTCTTTTTGCATGCGGTGTACAAAAATCTCGTAGACTTATTTTAGTATTTAATTCCATTTCCGTTTGATTTTCATCGTTGTCTGACATTCCTTTTTCAACTTTTTCATCCTTCAGTTTCTGGAGAAATTCAGCATGCTCTAGCGCTGCAGCACTTCCTTTGTAGAATTTATGCGCTTTAATCGCTCGCTGACATTTAGGTTTTACAAAAATACGATATAATGACATTGCGATTTCCATTTGTTTCTACCTACCTTATCTTTGTTCCGATTGGTTAAATATTCGGGTGACTCGGGAATGAGGAACATAATAATCATAAAAATTATGGGTGCTATTAATTGTGCCGTTACTTGATCTAACCAATTCAAATTGTTTCCAAGGAAAAACGAAATGATGATTCCTAAATTGTTCATCGGGTCATACAGTGAGTTCAAAGCACCTCGCATGCTAAAAACAAATGCATGCACCTGTTTATTTCACGTAGTTCAATGTCTTTCATTCTTATCTGATATTTACCTGTCGTGTGATATGTCCTGTATCAGTGTGGCGATGCCAACTGATACCCCACCGCCGACTAGCCCGCTCAACACTCGAGAGACATACACATAGTAAACATTTTGCGCCCAAATGATAAGCAATGCACTCAACTAGAAAGCAATTGTCACTGATATGAAAGTGCAACGTACAATATTCAACATTGTAAAAGAAAATCTTACGATTAATGGCACTCCGAATAAGTGAATCGTTCGTTTAATACCAAATATATTGTTCATGAGTAATGTTATCCAGTTGCCGAAGAATCCGCCGATATTGAGTAATGAGACGACTAGCGATGCTTCTTCTAGGCTCAACGGTCCCGTGGGAAATGTGCAATTCTCACTTTGAAGTTCATTGAAGTTGATTGTGGCCCATCCAGTGGCCATACCAAACGAAAATGTTAACAAATTGCCTAGTGAAATGCAATTTTGGTTCCGAGAGATTTTATTTCATTTTTGAAAAAAAAAAATTCTGTTATCATTACAAAGTGATGTGAAATTCAATAAATTTTTTTTTTAATCCGATTTGTTTTGTTATAATCAGTTTTTTTTTAAGACTTACAACAAAAAATTGTTAAGAACTGTTTGGAAACCGGTGAGATTTTGCACATTTTTTCGAACTACTTTACCATACGATTTGTCACTTTTGAATTAGATTTCACAATGTTCGCAATTCAACTCGATTAATTGTTATTCGTCGAATTACAAATGCTAACAACCGTACGCACGCCGGTTGTAGACGGTTTTTGTCGATGGATTTGGTTAAAGTAATAAAATTTGCATTGAGTTTCCAAAGATAAGATACGATTTAGGGTGTTTCACAATAAACGATCCAAAGACAATCTAAGCATCCATCATTTGCAATAAACCACTGTCATAAATCATCTAATAACACCAGTAAGTGCCCTTTTATTTACACTTCTAATGCGCCGTTGTTAAAATTTAATATAAAATTGGAAACAAATGTACTCATGGAACATGATACCAACTCAAAAATTGAAATTCAATTAAAAACTTTGTGCTTCTGTCACAGAAGTACTGTGGTACAAGTAATTGATGCGTTTAAAATTGTATATCAATACATTCTCTTTCATTTCGATGATAACAAATATATTTGTGTCGCTGAGAATAAAAATGGCAATACTGTGTTTGAACTGAAGCACAACACGAAACATGTGAATTTTGAATGAATTTTTATGTTTTTCGCAAAAATGATTTGAGACATAACGAAACGTTATCTTCAACAAAGTTATAGAATTGGTGGCCACTTTTTCATTAAACATACAGCGAATGCCATTCAAAAATCTATTATTTCCAAGTATCATTGGGATGTGTGGCATTCTCTATTTTCTGTGAGATTCTTCAAGTCGGGCGTCAATGTGCATAGTTTATAACGAAGTTCAGATTTCAAATCTGTTGACTATGGGACAATACAATGCGCCATGTGAAATTCGAAAATATTAAAAGTATTCCGATTTTTATTATCAACAACACATTTGTGTGGCTGGAAATAAAAGTGGAATTACAGGTACTTATTCCTAAAATATTACCGATAATCAAGGTCTCACTGTTGTATATTTGCTTTGAGATGGCGTAGGTGAGATTGAAAGCGATAATTTATTGTCTACTTCAACCAAGAGACTTTCATTGCGTTCATATCAAGGTTTAAATTAAAGTTTGAAGCAATAACAAGCTGCGACAGAACGGCAGAAAAGATGAGTTATTTTCATTCGCAAGCATACAATTGTTATTAAACAAGTTGAGTGAGTATTGTGACGAGCAGAACGAATCTCGACTTTGTATACGCCTAAGGGAGTACAAAACACGTCTTTTTTTAATAATAATATACGCTTTTTTCCTATTTCCTTTTATTTATATTTAATTTTGACAATTTTAAAATAAAACGTATGCTGATCAATTCAACAGTGTTGATTGAAATCGTCAATTACTGTGTTTCAAAAGAGACGCTCTCGAACGCTTATTTAAGTGCCATTCCATTGCAAAATCCATCAGAAAATTGTATAAGTCCGAGCACACGTGCGACTTTGACATTTTTTTGCCGCAAACCACAGACAGAAAAGGCCCTGTGTAATCAGTTTTATTTGTCGAGACAACGATTATCTTCAATTCTATTTATTACATTTCAATTCTTTCTATTTGTTTCCACGTGCAAGAGATTTGTTGCATTTCTACGTAGACCATTGCAGCAGTTACACTCTGTGACTGATTTTACAACAACCAAATACCCACGTTTCGTTCTATTTCGGAATACTGTAAATGGGAAATGAATGAGAAATCAAGGTGGAGCCATCAGTAGCGAATCTGTTGCTACACTTCTCCGTTTCTACGTAATGCAATTAAAAAGTTGAAGAAAAAACAAATTTCACGAAAAAAAAGAAAAAAATATAGAATACCATGAACGCAATAATGCGAATTGCTCACTCATAAAATAATCAAATTTCAATTTCAATATTTTTCATAAATTTGTATTCTTTATTACTATGACTAATCATATTTTCTAATGGCTTATTCTTGATTTGTTATTATTCTGTACATTTATATTTAACATAATAACCAACACATAATTGATGACAAATTTGATCAATTTAATAGCTATATTATTGTAGCTCTAGTATAAAAGTCATTCTTCCTATGTGAAATCGGTTAATTTTGGCTGAATCATGATTGTAAAATTCCTTATCATATCCAAAAATACTGCTGATTTGTTTTGTTTTCATTTTTTGTTTTTTGTCGTTCATTTTATGGACTTGAAAATTATTTTCGGATTGAATTGATCGCTCTTATCTGTCTACAATTGTCTTGATAAATCACTTGTAAAAATTATTTCTGCGAAGCTTATGATGAATTTGTACCGTGATAAGATCCGTCGACATTGCGTGCTTTTGATTTAACACAAGTAATAACATTTTATATCATGAGACACTGTAGACCTTTTTCTAACTCAACAGTTCCATAATTTCTTCGTACGATTTTCCGCGTGTTTCTGGAATGAAAAACATTCCAAACACTGCGTTTAGTGAGCACATCACAGCCAAAGCGATCATGCAACTGAATAGACCGAATTTTTCTAAAAGTATAGGAAATATCCAGGCGAGAACAAATAAAATGAGCCACATCGTCGAAGCAGCTAATGCAAGACATGTCTGGCGGATCTGGAATAAGAATTCCTTATTCAGTGAAGATTTGATGACAATTGTGTATTTTTCGTACCTTTTTTGGGAATATTTCAATGGTTATGATGTATGGTATGGGCAATAGACCCATGCAACTGATGAAAACGATACATGCAATACAAAACGGTGGCATCCATTCGTATTCCGGTTTTTTTATCCATAGGCAGCAATAAGCGGCCAATAAGAGAAAGCTGACAGTGGCCAGAATCGATGACCAAATATAAAGTGTCTACCAAGGATAGAAAATGAATGCATGTTATATTTTGAATCGAAGCACATTTGATCCGATGGAAATAAATTAAATATGTGTTGGCAAAAGCGGAAATTGAAAGCGTTGTACACCAAGAAAATCATTTGAAATTTTAGTTGTGTCACCATTTTGGCTTTGACTACAACAAAAATGTGATTCTCTTTTATATATGCATCAGATTCCAGCTCCACTTTTGTAAACACTAACGATAAAGTTTGTGATTTATTTCCAGCGATTGATTCTCTTGACTTAACAAACCCTTCGATTAACTCTTTCCACGAAATTTAATAGAACCAAGTTCGCACTTATTTGTATGATGGCAATGAAAAGCGACGAATTCTTCGCAGAAAATGATGAGCCAGTCTTAACGAATATATCTGTAACATAGCTGACGATCGTCATTGTGCCAGATAGAAATGACAGAGTAAATGCTGTGAATGCAATGAAGAATGCCTTTTTCGCTTGTGGAGTTACTGTGAAGGCAAAATAAAATAAGGATATGAAAAAGTGAAAAAAAAAATTCACATAAAGAGTATCGCAATGTCGACATAAGAACATAAAAATTACAAAAGTCTTGAAGCGTTAGTTTGGAATTTGTTTTGGACTCGTCGGTAACGTCATTTAATTTCCCATTTTCGAGTTCATCATCATTAGGTACTTGAATGAAATCGACTTTTTCCAATGCTGCAATACTTCCTTTGTAGAATTTACGCGATTTCATTGCACGCTGAATTGAAGAAAAATAGACGGTTTCTTAGCACAGAATCAGTTCAAACAGAATCAGTTGAATTTTCAAGTATTCAGCTGAGATAAATGAAACTGAGCCAGCGTTAACATATATGTAATTAGCCTACCTTTTCGTTGTTCCGATTCGACCAATATTCGGGTGATTCTGGCAGTAAAAACATAGCTAGCATAAAAATAAGTGGAATAATCAATTGAACTTTTGCCTGATCCAAGCAGCTCAAATAATTTCCGAGTGCAAATGAAATAATGATTCCTAGATTAAACGATGGGTCATACAATGAGTTGAGTGCACCACGGACCCTAAATCAAAATCAATCACGTTTTATTACGTTTAATTATTGTTGTCAATAAAAAGTGTTTAATTACCCATCGTATGAGATATCATTCACAAGCGTTGGAATGCCAACGATAATGGCTCCACTAACAAAGCCAGCGGCAAATCTCGACACATATAAATAGTACACGGATTTTGCATACAGGATAAGAAGTGTACTAACCTAAAAAAAAGAAGGCATTTGTGGAAATTTCGAGTAAATTTTCGATCGAACAATTAATTCAATTCTTCTTCAATGTGTCAGATTCTTACGATTAAGAGAGGGCCAAGCAAATGAAGTGTTCTTTTCACGCCAATTAATTGACTGATTGGTACAATGGCGAAATTGCCGAGAAAACCACCCACCTAGAAAACGATGTGAATTATATTGTATAATATATACATATTAAAGAGAAACTCACATTCAAGATTGATATAACCAATGAAGCCTCCTCCAAATTCAAAGGTCCCGTTGCAAATGTGCTGTTTTCACTTTGGAGCTCATTGTAGTTTATTGTGGCCCAGCCAGAGATGAGTCCAAACGAAAGTGTTAACAAATTGCCTATTTCAAAACAAATGTCACATGTTGATGACACAAAATCTGGTTGGTTTGCTGCATTTTATATTTGAATGGAACTTACAGCACAGAATCGCAATAAATTGCTTCAAAACCGGTGAAAATTTACACATTGTAGTTCTATTTATTGTATACGTGTTTTTTTTCTTCTCACAAAACCTCTTAAACTAATTCCACAACAAAACGGTGCTTTTTTATTTCACGTTGCTCAAAATGTGCCGTCATTCGGGCTTTGTTTGAGACGAACTTCAAACGTTCATTGATAAACGGTTCATGTGTATGTGGTTCAGTAAGCGAAATATTCGTTGATAAGTCCGCTGCGGCTGGGTTTTTCTCGATTTTTTTTTTAGATAAGATATGATAAGCAGAATACGTGAGAATCAAAGCATCTTTTATATATGTGATATACAATGTATTATAAAAGGATTTGCGTTCTCAAAATTAATGTTTGTAAATAACCCCGTCTTTTGTGCCGTGCAATATGTGATTATTCGATTTTGAACAAATTAATTCAGTGAAAAGTGCTCTGAATGAACTAAACTGATTTACTACTTGCATCGACTGTTTTGAAGCAACTACATAACTATTGAGCGCCAACCAGTGCAGTCTTGAAATATCTGGCAAATAGAGCACAGTGCAATGATCCGATTAAAAATTTATAGTCAAATTCAAGTAAACATGTGACAGTCCGATACCGATGATCTTCATTTCTAGTCAATTGACGCCGTACAGCGATAATTTGTGACTACGAAATTGGTTAAATTTTCAATTCTATGGGCGCTGCCATATTGAAAATTTACGTGCGATATGGTGCACGCACTCAATAGTTCCACTTATTTTAATAAGGAATCTCTATAGGTGGCGCTGCCACATCGTCATTGACATCGAGTCAAATATTGTCAAATATAACAACATTGTTTATTTTGGCTTTTATCGCAGAACTATTGACGCGATAGGCAATTAAAGTTGATTACAATAATCTTCTTCAAGTTATTAAAACAGACAGTATGCCCAGTGATTCTCTATGTAGATTGGAGTACTCAAACCTCCTCGACTCTTGAATACTCTTTATCTTTTGAATGGTTTTGGTTGATAAGAATTGCACAAGCTAGTTTACTGGAGCGTAATATTCCAGTTCGAATGAATAGGCCCACAAAAACAGCAAAATTTCAAAGAGTGTGCTACAGATGAAAGTTGAATGTCTTAGGAATGTTTTACTGACACTTGAGAATTCAAGAGAAAAAAAACAGACAACAGTTTTTTGGAACAGAACTATTTTTTATCTTTGAAAGAAAAAATCTCCAAATGATGACTAAAAAATCGCCGAGACAAATTGGCAGCGCACAGCGAGATAATGTACTTTTTTCATTGCATTTGATGAAATTATTTACTCTCTGAATGGGTCTGAGTGATATGTATTTGCATACCGAATTTATCTGGTTGAATTTTAGATTTACTGCAAGCATTAAATCATTGAAATCGGATAATTAAATGGAGTTTACTTTATCATTAAACGAAGTTGAATTGATACACACACACGACTATCATCACTTGTGTTGACGGCCAAAACCGGATTTTCAGAAACGCTAATCAGTTTTCAAAAGTTGAACTCAAAAAAAATAAGTTTGGCATCAAAAATTCGAAAAATGTAGAAAGAAAAAACACTTTCCTTACCCTCTCATGCATACAACCGCCTCTAGACGGGCAACATTTGAACGCCTGTAGAACGAAAACCGTACATCGGATCACATTGCTTTGAAGGGAATTTTTATTTGTCAATATTTTCTCTTTATTTTTGTCTTTGGCAATATATTTGTCTATGTAGTGTGATTCTAAAGTTATAAACAAAAATGTATGCAAAAACAAAAAAATTGACAAAATAAATTATTCGAACTCCAAATTAGACAAATTTTTGACACTTTTAAACAATGGATTTGATTGTTCTCTGATTTATGTCAATCGCATTTTCTGACTAAACCATGAGGATTCCATCGGATTATGAATATTTTATTAATTATATATGGCCAAAGATCAACCAAGTACCAGTACTCCGGAGCCCTGGGAAAAATTAATGCATTAGAGGTTTAAAATGCATACAGTTTTTGAGTAAGGCGATTTTGTTTGACTCGATCTGTCAAAATATGCATCAAATGAAATCAATTATTTTAATAAAATTTCAAATAAATGAGTTTTTTTAGTTTTTCTTTCTTTATAGCTATAAATATACTATAGTATTAAAATATAAATCAAAACCAATCATTTGACTATAATTTAAAGCCATAATTTGTAGCAGAACATTGCGAATTTTCGCAAAGATTCTTTTGAAAAAGTCTCTTTAGAAAAACTCTTTCGATTGAATCGATGGAGACTCTATCGAGCGGATGGGAAAATTCAAACCCTGTTTTGAACTATTCGTCGCTGAGAAGAAATCGAACAAAATATCATGGAGAAATTGCCATGCATTTCTTGCAAAATGTTGAGGTATTTGGAGAAGATCACACTAAATTTCATAGTTACTGGATGTACATTTTGTTTCTACTGTTTGATTGTGTTTATAGTTCTCCGTGGAAAAAGGTCTTGTACATCACTGGGACGGAAAAATGATGATCGATATGTCAACTGCGGGGCTGTTGAACGATTGTCAATAGTTTCAACTCAATCTGACATGGAGCGCGTTTTGCGTGTTCCAAAGCTGCCGAACAAAATGGGAGTCGCCGCCGGAAACGCTGAATACGAAACGCGGCTCACAGTAGAGCGGAAAAAACTGATATTTTTAGAATAAGGTAAGATGGTGGACTTAAGTTAGGAGTTTATGCCGAACTCTTGACCACACTGCACGGATTCGTAGCTGTGCTTGGGAAATAAAAGAAAAGTCTTCCGCAGTCAGCGATGATGTGGATATGGTTCCAGCACCGCCATCTAATCCCATTCCATCCGGTGTTATACAAAACGATGTTGTATCTTCATCATCTTCTTTACTTTCGAAAGTTCATGGCGATTCTGCCGATTAACCTCATGGATGTCAACAAAATTGTCTGCAAAATCCTGAGAAAGCCACTGAAAGAAAAAGTTTCCGAAATAAAACCACGTGCCTTTTTTATTTATTAAAAAGTTGCAAAATCTACTTTTATTAAAAATAGATGGCAACGGACTTGTTTTACTTTATTTGTACACATTTACACTTTTTTATACAATTTTCTCTTCGTTCTTTCTCCTTTTAAAAAATAAATGTAAAAAAATCGCTTAATTCTAATTGCATAAATTAATTTGTCATTAGATTTGCAGCTTCGATGAAGGAAATCTTTAATTTTATTAGAAGAAAAAAAATTGTCGCCTCAATGAAAATCAAGAAGAAACTGAAATTGTTTCAAGCGGAAATTTTCACTGATTGTTGTCGTCGCATATTGTTCCAATTGTTCTTAAACCTAATGGCAAATCTATGTTGTCTAGTTGTTTTGTTTTTCACTTTAATTATTGTAAAATGAAAAAATGCATGGATGAAGGTAAATGTTTCATTTGTTTTTCTTTTCTTTTCTATATTGTCATACTAATATTTACCAGTCTTATAGCGATAAATGTGATGGGTCTACGAATAAAATCTATTACGAGCTAAATTTTAATTTGTATATAAACTCGATTCTACTTCAATAATTCATTTTTCTACTGACTAAACATTGATTGTCTATTTACAATGACGGCACATTTGATTAAGTTGTATATTTCTTCATTTAAATAAATCACTATCGATTTTTTTGCCTATAAATTTTGCTCTCTCAATGCAAAGAGACGTAATTGGCCTCAATTCACCATTTGCTTTTAAATTGAATTCAGAAACTTGTCTATACAATAGATTTTGTTGTGTCACAGATTGCATTTTAAATTACTAATTACGGTAAACTTGTTATTTTTGTCACTCGCATTTCTTCTAAATTCCATCTTCCGTCGTTTTCGTTTAAAATTCATTTGTTTCATTTTGTTTGAATTTCTTTTATTTTCTATTGTTGGAAAATGTACAAGGCTCATGTATTTCATATGTACAAAACGAATGATCACTAGCATATTTTGCGATGCGATGTGGGTAGGTTGCTGACATGCGGTGAAATTGATGGTGACTGTGTTGCCAATGGTGACAGTGATGGTGAGAATGAGGGTGACATGGCGGATGATGTGCTAAAGCCAGCGATTGAATCATGGCTGATTGGTGATCTTGGTAAAAGGTACTGATTTACAGAGCCTGTGTGGCTGCTGTTGCCTCGTGTGGTAAGCACTGATCGTGGTGCGATGTGTGTGAGCAACGGCGGTGGAATGTGTTTCGGATGTTGTGTTGCTTTACTTTTACCGCTCGCTCCACTGTTCCCGCTGTGCAGTGACAACGTATCGTCTTTCAGTCTTGCAATCTCCGAGAAAACATGTGCTAATGGTTGATACTGAGGGCCCCAATCGAGTAAATAATCCCAATTGTAGCTGCCCGTGAGCTCTTCTTCACTGTGAACGATTGAGCTTAGCGAACCGTTCATTGATGGGCCTGGATTTCCAGCTACCACCGGATATCCGCTCATCATGTGATCAACGGCCGCATCAATGCTGCCTGCAGTCGTTGCGGCCTCATCCACACAACTCGCTCTATCACTGCCCACCGTAACATCGTTCAATTTCGCATAAATCAAATTCGTGATGTCATTGTGATGCGAATCTTCGTCGAACATGTGCAACGAATCGATTGGCAGTGTGTGATGTAAAATTGCATCTTTTGTGCTGCCTACACGTGACGATGTCGATGCTCCGGCAGTTAAATTATTATCTACAATACCTAATCGAGCCAAATACTCTTGTGTATTTTGTACTGAAACGTCTGATTGACGACCATTCTCCATGTGCATTCCATTATCTCGTTGCAATGGTCCTTCGTTGATCATTCGTATTTCCTCATCTTCACCATCATCTTCGGCTGAACCTCTTCCACTTGAACCGGATTGCTGTGATCCCGAAAGCTCGGATGTTGTCGCATTATTCGAACGCGAACTGTGCGAACACGGTGGAATCTCATCGTATTTCGGTGGCGCAAATGGTCCAGAGTTGTTGACACTGGCATTTGCTCGGATTGGAATTGTATCAAATGCCGATGGATCGACGTAGCTGTTCGTATTTCCAACCGTTTCAGAGCTCAAATTTGGCTTGATCACTTGTTTGTGTCGTCGATTTTTGAAGTGTAAGAACAAAAATACGGCACCAAATGAAATGCACACCAAAATCAATGAAATCAACAGCCCAAGTGCCCAATCAGCGATACCGCTGTCATTTGCACCGCCCGAATTAATCGTGCTTGCTTGATTCGTACTCAAATTGGATAGGGCATCCAATGCGATTTCAACAACAGTCATGTTTGTCAATGAACCTTGACGACCCGATGAAGCCGTTACAACCAAACTCATATCACGACCCGCTTCCAATGTAGCGGCCGCATTGTTCAGCTTGCGCTTGATCATAATGGCGCCGGTCGTTCGGTTGATCTTAAAGTATGGGTGTTGTGTTGTCAGTTGGTAAACAACCCGACCATCTGGCCCTTTGTCACGATCCGTTGCAAGAACACAACAAAATACGATATACCCAACTGGCAGTGTATCCAACTCTGGTGTAGCCAAACCAAATCGATATGTTCGTTCGGTGAACTGTGGACTGTATTCGTCTCGACTATCGATCATGATGTGAACTTTTACGTAGGCCGATTTACCACCAACATCGGTTGCCTTGATGGCAAATGTGTAACGATTCTTTTGTTCATAATCAAAGACCGCATTGGTGATGACGATTCCAGTGATTGGATCGATTTTGAACAGTTTCCATGCTTCATCAACATCCGATTGACCAATTGCCGATGCGGACTCAATCGAATAGTTTAGCTTGCCATATTTCCCTTTGTCCAAATCAACGGCACGAGCAGTGAACACACTCACGGCAATCGGTTCATTTTCAGCAACAAATTCCACATATTCTGAAACGGCAAAGTGTGGCTCATTGTCATTTTCATCGGTTAGCGTGATGTTGAATTGGCAAATGTTGCACAGAGCAACCACTCCGCTGTCACAGGCTCGAATTACCACACTGTAATTCGTATGGCCTTGATCGTAGTCCAATTTTTTGTTCACCAAAAGCACGCCACTAATCAAATCGATGCTGAACAATCCATCGTCATTGCCAGACGTGATGTCGTAGACAATCTCCGAATTTGGTGTATTTTCCAAGTCACCATCGGTTGCAATGATCTTTGCGATCGAATACTTTAGTGGAACCGCTTCGCTGACCACAACTTCGTAGTTCTCCGTTTGGAACACTGGTGCATTGTCGTTTGCATCCTCAATCGATACAAACACATTTATGATTGTTGTATTATCGTCCATTTGATTTGGAATTTCAGCGTCATTCAGCGCCAAACGTAAATTGTACGATTGAGTTGTCTCGCGATCCAGCTGCTTCACCAACACCAAAGCATTATTCGGCTGGATTATGTCGAAGGTATCATTGTCATTTCCAGATATGATTTGGTATACGGTATTTTGATTTGAGTCTAATTCGATTTGATCAGCACCTGTCAGCTTAAGCAAAACCGTTCCCAATTCGGCACTCTCCATGATTGTTGATCTGCGGAAAAAGATGAAATTGGTTAAAATTGAGCAAGAAAATGAAAAAATGAATTCCAATGAAGAAAGAACTATCCAAAAAAAAATCGATTCAATGAAAGAATAGTATTTGCACCCAAAGCTACGAAAATCCAAAGAAATTTGATAAAACCAACTATCAAAGAAAGAGATTAGAAATACTAACCGATATTGATTTTGAATGAAATGCGGTTTCACCAAATTGTTCGGAATGACCTTAATTCGAACGGCAGCCGTTGACTTGAGCATTGGAATGCCGGAATCAGTGGCCATTACAGAGAATTGTACATCGTTTGTTGATAGTTTATTAACTTGGCTTGCATTCGCCGAAATGATGCCAGTTGTTTCGCCAATGTAGAAGCCAGGCACTGGTTTCACCAAAGAGTATCGTTGACCGGCATTTTTCTCGCTATCCAAATCAGTTGCGTTCACTTTCATCACTTCAATTATTCCACTCGACGATTTTGCTGTAAAAATACGAAGGAAATTAGTGATGTTTTTTTTCCCGAGTCAAAAAATTGAATGTTTCTTCCACCAGATGGATTGTCATCTAAAAAAAGAAAATCCATACCTGAAATCGTTGTTTGATACATCAGTTGTGTGAATTCGGGTGCGTTATCATTTTCATCGGCAATGTGAATGGTAAGTGTTGATTGTGCCGTGTACTTTGTATCGGATGCGAGGATTTTCAATTGGTATTCCTGTCGCATTTCATAGTCTAATGGTCGTTTCAGCAAAACCTTACCACTAAAGCGATCGATGGCAAACAGAGCGAGTGCATCTTCGTCGGTGTGAACCTCATCGAATGAATAAGCCAATGATGGATAAGTATCAACATCGTTAGCCGATGCGATCGTTAGTACGGTACCAAGTTCAGTGCCTAAAAACAGAATGTACCCATTTCCCTAATTTATTAACCAATTCATTGGATTTCATTGTGTTTTCGTGCGACACTTACCTTCGCCAATATTGATGACGTTGTGCGGTGGAAATGTTGGTTGATTGTCGTTCACATCGATGATATGCACATGAATCGTTGCAGTGCCCGTCATTTGTGGTACTCCTTCATCGGTGGCAATCACTTTCAATCGATACATATCACGGATTTCTCTGTCAAGCACGATATTCGTTTTAACGGTGCCACTGAACGCGGGCTCAATGACAAAAGCATTATCATGATTCCCATCGACAATGTGATATAGTACACGTGAATTGGCTCCCTCATCGATGTCAAACGCTTTGACTTGCATCACAAATGTACCTTTGTTATTGCCTTCCCACACGCTCGCCTCGTACTGTCGCTGTGTAAATCGTGGCGCATTATCATTTTCATCTTGTAAATGAACCACAACCGTACAGTAGCCATAGAGAATGGGCGCTGTGTCGGTGTGTGCAACAACAACCAAATGAATACCGCGTTTATTACGATCTTCGTAATCGAGGCTCGCTGAATTTTCTACTTTGATTTCGCCGGTTTTTGCATCAATCTCGAATGCACCATTATCATTGCCACTTTCAATGCTATAAATTATCTTTTGACGTCGACCATCGCTTCGTACCGCATTCAATTGTACAACGGTATGACCGTGCGGTACATTTTCCATGAGCGACACTGGGTACAATTCATTTTGAAAGTGTAAACTTGGGTAATCCGATGCAACATCACCGACACGTAGCTCAATAAAACCGAATGTGCTTTGTGGTGGATTCCCTTTGTCTCGTGCAACAATTTTCAAATGAATCAAACGTCCATTGTCCTCGGAAAGGCTTTTTGTAGCCGTTAAAATGCCAGTGCTGGGATTCAGTCGAAATTTGTCATTCATTGAATCGCTAGCCAAACTGTATACAACTTCACCGTTTGCACCTTCGTCAATATCCGTTGCTGAAACCTGGATCAATTTTTGGCCGGGCTGCACAAATGTGGAAATCTGATTTTTGAATGGATACTTCTCAAATATTGGAGCATTATCATTGACGTCCTCAATCACAATTTGAACGGGAACACTTTGCTCGCGTGCATCATACAAACCACCGTCAGTGGCTACAACCATGAAATTAAATACACGCGTCTTTTCCCGATCCAAAGCACTATTCAAAACAATTTGGGAAGAGAACATTTTAATTTTCCATTCATTTGAAACGTTCAGTGAAGAATTTTCACTCTTTAAAGGTTAATTCAAATCAAAACAAAAAAACTTACCCTGTCGTTGTAATAACACCGCTGCGATTGTCCACACTAAACAGCCAATCCGTTTCGTTAGCCAATGAGTAGACGATTTGTGCATTCGATCCAATGTCGGCATCGGTAGCTTTGACTGTCAGTATTGGTGTACCGATGGCAACGTCTTCAGCCACCGTGACCGTGTACTTGGACAGTTCAAAGTGTGGATTGGAATCGTTTTGATCTTCAACAGCGATTGAAATATTGCATGTGCCTTGATATGTGATTGGTGAGCCACGATCTTGTGCGGTGATTTGCAGCAGATAACGTGCTTTCTGTTCTCGGTCCAACGGACCGGCTGTCAATTCACCCGTGTGCATGTCGATGCTGAATCTATTTCCGAAATTTCCACCTGAAAAACCAAAAGCGTCCAGTGTTTTTATTCATATATGGCAAAAGTATCAATTTCAATGCGATCCCAAACCGCAAATAAATGTGAATTGTAATTGATATTCGATTTATATTTATAGAGTTTTTTAATTGATATTCTTCTCGTGAACAAAAAAAAAGAAGTGTGGATTGATTGTATTACCTGTGATGGTATAAATGATGTCACCATTCAAGCCATCGTCTAAATCGGTTGCGACGACTGTGTGAATAATGGTGGCCTCATGATTTTCTGGCACAGCCAATGGATAGCAGGTACCCGTTCGGAATTCAGGAGCATGATCATTAACATCGTTGATTTTGATTACAAGTGTTGCCACATCAAACAGTGTCATTGCATTTCGATTTGTTTTCGAATAGCTAAAACTATTGCCAAATTCAGTGGCTGCCGCTTCGGTCACATAAATCGGGATCATGTAGACATCTTTTGATTCACGATCGATTGATCCACGAGTCGTAACAATGCCACGGCTCGAATCGACGGTAAACACATCGTCTCCCACACCAGCCGGTATCTCAAACAACAGACTTCGACCTAAATTGATTTTTTGTTGTTGTTCATTTCATTAAGAAAAATATAAAAAAAAAAACAATTTTATTAATTCATTTATTAATTTTATAACGAACGTTATCATCATGAAGCACTTTAAGTGCAATAAATCTACATTTGTATTTCCTTTCAATTACTATTATTCCAAATGACAATATACATAATATTTTATTTCGAATCACACACACACATGTTGATGTTGTTGCTGTTATTTTTCATTTCTTCTCAATTTAAACATGATTTTATGTTTATTATTGACTTGTTTTGCCAGTGAACGGAATACAGAAAACACATTACATGTCACCACGAAAAAGTATTGAATTACAATTTATTTGCAATCAAGTTTTTTTCTCGTCCGTGTTGATTTTTTTTGGTTTTCGTTCTGCAACGTTTCGTTCGTGTGTGTGTGTGTGTGTCTTTTTTGCGTTCGTTTAAAATAAAAAGCGAATGTTATGTTCACACCTTGGTGAATAATAATATTATAGAGATTGTTGAATAAAGTCTATAAATATATTGCCAATTGTAATGTGGTGAAACGTACCTGAATCAGTGTGATAAGATTTGGCGCTGACACGAGCAACGAATGTGCCGAATGGGATATTTTCCGAGATGTTGGCATAGTAAATGGGTTCACTGAATTTTGGTGGATTTGTTGTTAGGCCTTGTACAAAGATCTGAGCATTGATTTGGGTGCTGAGTGGAATGGGTGATCCATTGTCAGCGGCACTAATAACGAGATTATGTTTGCGACTGATTCCACTGCCCGTTGAAATGACTTCGTTTGATGCATTGGCCAGGAATGGTTTAAGAAGTTTTATGGTTCCCGTCATTGAATTCATTTCGAATTGACCTTCTTCGTTTCCGCTAATAATGCTATACGAAATGCGGCTGTTGTTATTCGAATCCTTGTCGATAGCAATAACTCGTGTGACCACATCACCGATGCTCAACGATTCACTGACATAAATCATTGCATTATCCGCATTGGGATACACAAAAACTGGACCATTGTCATTAGCATCAACAACCGAAATGCGTGCCGTAACCAATGAACTCAATCTTTCGCTCAAATTCGTCGATTGATCGGTTGCTTTAACTACCAGCAAATATTCGTTCAAGTCTTCGTAATCGATGGGCAACAGCTGTGTCAAGGTGCCAGTCAAAGGATCAACGCTGAATGTTTTTCGATTCCATGGCATTTGTTGGACGAGTTCATATTGAATATTACCATTTGGGCCGAGATCAAGGTCAGTTGCTGTAAAATTATACAGTGCCATGCCGATCGGTGAATTTTCCACCATTTTTATTTCAATGGGATCTTGTGGCCATTGCGGATAGTTGTCATTTTGATCGATGATTTCAATTTTTATATTGACTGCTGAACTTTGTGGATTATTTGTGGCGGTTGTGTCAAGAGCGCGCACTTCAAGCCGATATTCACTTTGTTGTTCGCGATCCAATTGGCGGGCAACAACCAGTGAACCAGTACTACGATCGATATCAAATGCATTCTCAATGACATCCGTCGAAATGGAATTGAGTGTGTACGTCACTTGAAGCACACGATTCGCAGCGATCATATTATCGGAGTCCGATCGATCGGTGCTGCCAATAAAACCAACAATGTAACCGATTGGCGCATCTTCACGAACCTGTTTCATTTTCAAAGCACCGAGAAAGAAATAGATAAAAAGAGGTTGGTATTTGTTAGTGTTTATTTTTTATTGTGTAATTTCTTCTTCTTATCCATTTCAATAATAACTATGTGTTTTTTTCCACTTATTCTGCCATCAAATGTGAATTGACGACTAAATGGAAAAGCCTCTTAAGTCGGATAGGAAAAAAGAAATAACGCGAGTCTTTATCTTTTAATCAGAATTGAGTATATTATGACTTTGAGTGTGTTTATTGAAGTAAACTGTTTAAATTACCTTGTAAATCAAACTGGAGCTGGTGAATGTTGGACGGTTGTCATTCAAATTGAGCACTTCGACGCGAAGTAAGCGCACCGTTTGTTTCGATGGTTTGCCGCCATCATTTGCCGCAATTGCCAATCGATAAATACTACGCTCTTCATGATCTAAGGCGACACGAGTTCGTATGATGCCCGTTGATGAATCGATCGAAAATAATCCGTAGCCGTCCGAATCACGTCCTTTTAATATTGAATACGTGATACTGGCATTATAGCCATTGTCGCGATCAATTGCACGAATGCGAACGACGTACGTGCCAGGTGGTTGCTCTTCCCGTACACTCACCACATCTTCTTGTGGATCAACTATTTCTGGGGCATTGTCATTTATATCATTGATATGGATGCGCACTTGAGCTCTCGAACTTCGAGACGGTGTTCCCTGATCACGAGCCTCCACGACGAAATCATACGACGCATGCTGTTCACGATCCAATGTTTCACGTGTAATTATTTCACCTGTTTTTTTTTTTCAAATTGAGAGGAATTGGGTTTAAATTTTCATTTATATGGATTTTCATATGATTTCTTTCTCGTGCGGTTGATCACAATAAAAAGAAAGGTTCAATTGGAAACAAAATTATTTGATTGTAACAAGTTCAGAAGAAAGGTCTTCGATTAAAGAATTACAGCCTAAGAATGGAACTCACCTGTATTTGGATTTACGTGAAAGCTTGAATTGTCCGGAATCAAATTGTACTTGAGTTCAGCATTTATTCCCAAATCAATATCGCTGGCCGAAACAACACCAACAACCGTATTGCGACGTGCATTTTCATCAACCGTAAATTCGTATGAGTCTTGCATAAACACCGGATCATTATCATTCGCATCCAGTACGTTCACAATTACGTGAGTTGTGGCCGATGCCGAAGGTGTGCCATTATCATTCACCACAACGGTTAAATCATAGTAATCGCATTTCTCGCGATCTAATTCACTGCGCAAATAAAGCCAACCATTGTTTGGGAACATGCCAAAAATGTCGGTAATATTTGCAGCCGCTTGCATATTTCCTTTCGACGTGTTGCTGCTCTTGGAACGTTGTTTAACGTCATGTCTTGGTTGGAACATTTGCGAACCGCTCACAATTCGATAGGTTAACCGTGCATTGTTACCGGTGTCTAAATCGGTTGCGGTTACTTGTAAAACCTTTGGGTATTTTCGGAAATGAAAATTGAAGAAAAAAAGAAACCAGTTTAACAATTTTGTTGAAAGAAAAACCACGAAAACTTAAGATAAAAAAAAATGCGCTTAGGTTATTTATGTATCATTTAAATTGAAATAAGCTAAAAAGATGTAAAAAAAAAGATAAGAAAAAGTGACCAACCTGTGCATTAATTTGTGTCGACTCAATAACACTGATTGAGTATTCGTTGCGCTCAAAAGCTGGACTGTTATCGTTTACATCTTGTACTTCAACTAAAATTGTCAAATTGGCCGTTAACGATGGCTCACCCAAATCGGATGCAGTGACGATCAAAGCGTGTCGTTGAGCCGTTTCATAATCTAAATGATGCAGCAACGTTAAATGACCGGTTTCTGCATCGATGCTAAATAGGTTTGGATTGCTTTTGCGATCGCCCGTTGACAGTGATGATGATAAGGAAATTGTATTTGTGGTGTGCATGTCATCAACATTTGTCAAACGATATCGAACCGTGCCACTCTTGCCCGAATCTTTATCATGAGCATTGGCTGCATAGAGTGGTGTGCCCAGTTCAACATTCTCCGGAATTGATATGCGAACCGTGCTCGATTCAAATTCGGGTGCATTATCATTGACGTCTTCAATGTAGATTGTCACTTGGGTGTGTGCATAATCGGGCCGATCACCACTTATCGCTTGGATATTTAGTAAAACCTGTGATTTCGTTTCATGATCCAATTTATTTGCAATTCGAATATTGCCAGACAATGAATCAATGCTAAAATATCCGTCCGGATCACCGCCATAGATTGAGTATTTTGTTATACTGCGACTTCCTATATTTCGGAATAGATTTTGATTTTAGACAGATTTTTGAAAGAAAAATTCATTTTTTTTTTCAAGCTTTAAACATTTTCTATCATTTTTTCAATAAAAAGATTGTTCAAAATGATATATTAGACAGACTTTAAATAGGTATTCAGAAAATGTGCTACTTCTGATTGATAAATGGATGAAAAAAAAACACAATTGTTTCAGAAAACCCACCTGAATCACTGCTGGTTGCTAAAATCGAGCCGACAACTGTGCCACGAGCCACATCTTCTTTCACCGAGTAAGTGTATCGTGTTTTCTCGAATATCGGAGGCCGATGCATCGAATCAATGACATTAATATAAACGACCGCATTTTGTGATGATCTCAAACCGCCTCCATCGCTGGCCGAAATGTTTAATTTATGATGGGGTTGTGTGCGGCTTGACAGCAAACTTGGTTTGCTAACAAAAATCTCTCCCGTCACACGATCAATGCGAAAAATGCTCGCCTCATTTCCACTAACGATGCGATATGTTACAGCGCCAAAGTGATCAGAATCTAAATCGGACGCCACCACTTGAACGATGGCCGATGAGCCGGTCGATGCTTCACGTAGCGATACATTGTATTCAGTTGGATAGAATATCGGTGCATTGTCATTAAAATCGGTTACTTGAATCTTAACAATGGCCGTCGTACTCAAACCACCTGCACGTTTCAGAGCAAAAAAGAGGAAAATATTAAGTAGAGAAATGCATATAAAAGAATTAGCTTATATTTGTAATCGCAGTGAGTGAGCGAGAGAGAGTGGGACAGAGATTGAGAAGTTAATCATTCGTTATTTATGTAGCTAAAGAAAATCAATTTATCTCTGTGATTACTGTAGCAAATAATGATAGGTTTACTGTTCGCTGTTGGTATGCCAACAACATCTACAATTCGAAGCCGTTTCAATGAAGCAAATTCATTATATTTCATCGGATGTGAAATGAGAAGCAAAACGAAAAAAAAGACGACATCACCACGAAACGAACTGAAAAATGCTATCAAACTATCGGGCTATGATCATCGGCAAGAAAACGATTTTCGTGCTCCTAATGTCAACCATCTCTCTCTCTGAGTCTCTCTCTCTCTCTCTGAGTCTCTCTCTCTCTCCCGAGTTAATAGATTTTCGCTGCTTTTTTGTGTACTTGGTTTATCAAATGCTGCACAATTGTTTAAAAGAAAGCAAACATCTTATTAAACGTCGTATCCGTATATATTTTGAATACGAAACGAATTGAATTGCCACGATTCCAATTGTCCGTTACAAAGTAAATCTTTTAACACGGATTGACCAGACATGGCATGGGATCGTAATTGTGGCGCGACAGAGAAATTTTTGACATGACTTCAAACCGGAGATAAGATTGAAAAAGTCAAGAATATGCTTTCGAATTTGGACGGTGATTTTGTTGCACGAAACAAAGTCGTTGTCAACGTTCATCATTTGGGAGCGGTTTTGCTGTCACCATCATCATTTTTTTAAACGGTCTTTTTGTAGGATTCATTTTATAGTGTTGACGCAGCTTGAGCCAACAACCTACTACTACGCACATTCCCCGCTAACATGCATAAAAGAATTATTCGTTGTTGTTTTCTTTTATGTCATTTTACCATAAATTTGTGTCCCAGGTCTAGGAACTAATAAAACAGTGTTATTGCCAACCGATTTGATTGGTCATATCTTGTACGCCACACGAAACAGGCCGCAGATGAACGGTTATGAATATTAGCATGGCCGAAACTCCATATATATATATATATATGTGTGTGTTCCACAGAAACTACACAGACAAATTGTTAAACAACGTTAAAAATTACCTTGATCGGTGGCTATTATCGGGAATTCATATGAGCTCCGCATTTCAAAGTCCAGCATACCACTAATACATATATCGCCGGTGGTGTGCTTCACTTCAAATTCCATCATCTTTTTGAAGCCATCACCAATCGTATAATTTACCATAGCATTCACACCGCAATCCGGATCGCTTGCCGATACCTGCGAAAAGAAAAAATGGGGAGAAAAAAGACGTTAAAATTGGACAACACATAAAACTAGATAAAATTTACAGTGATGATGGTTTTGACATTGCGCATTGAGCTGTGTGCTCAGCGCGCAACAAGTCAAACAGATCGAATTACAATAGGCACAAATTGATATGTACGTGTGCATGTGCGGACGAGTCACGGGGAGCTCCATTTTTTATGACACCAATTTGAATTGTGCGGTGAGTCACATGGATATTAAGCGATGATAAGAAAATGTTTTCTAAATTATGTAATAAAATGTCGATTTTCATTGAAAGCGGTTCAAGAGTCTTGTTGGTTTTTGGTTGATCAAAAACTTTGTTGCCGTAAGAAAAGAGTTTGCGGTTTGAACACACTGACTTTGGTAAGATATTTGCCTTTTTGAATATAATCTTCTTGTAATTTTTCATTCTGGTTACAGCTTTGATGTGATCCAAATGATCCAAACATATGTTTCTCAAGCCAAAAACCAAAAAAAAAAATTAGTGGTTGTAAAAGCAGCGAGAAAGGAGCGAATTACGGATTCTCATGGCCGATAACGAGTTCATTTAGTTGTGTTGCATTTGTTCGGATCTGTTCTGTTCTCTTTTTTTTCATCTCTCGCTCATCCAAAGTTGAGAGAGCGAGTGGCATTTATATGATGTATTTGCTGATTTATCGCGATTAATCCAGGACGTGTTCTACATTCAATTAAATGAATTTCCAGTGAATAGAGATATAATCCGGCTCATAGAGAATGAGCTAAAGCTTCTATCATTATCTTAAATTGGTTCTGGTGTATCTCTTGTGTGCAGCACTCAATCTCTCTCCTCGAAATAATTTCGTTCTGTGAATCGCCCCATTATACGACTATTTGCTTCTGAGCCGAGCAACTCTCTTTCAATGCACATCAGCCAACCATATTCTGCCAGCGAGCCACACAGTGCATGCAAAGAAGTTATAATGATGGTAAAATATCCGCCATTTTACAACATTAATTATAAGCTCAATTATTTCGCTGCCGACCAATCCAAAACGATTGCAGCGAGTTGTGCAGTGCATTCTGCATTTTTTTTTCGTTCGTTTTTTCCTCTTTTGCTTTGATATTAAATGTGATGTGTGTGCACTTGGCACAAAATGCCCTCGCAATGCAAGTGTATTTATTATAATTTTGCTAAATGCAGGTATTTCGCGGTAATACACATGTACAACACATGTACGGTTGGTGTGGCACGGTGCGCGAGCGGCATGTCTTGGTGCTGCTTCTGCTGTTGCGAAGAACGCTGGAAAATTGCCAAGTGCAACAATGATGACGTCTCGAATTCGCAAACATGCGATCCAACGAGACTTGATATCATTCCATCACTTTGATGGACTCGCTGGCATTCTGGTTGTTGGAATTAACCTTTTGTCTATTTTGATGATATTTTGTAGATAAAATAGTTTCTTTTTTTCTCTTTTAGATACATTTTATTTTATCGCAGGAGTCTCCGGATGGTGTAAGAAGAACGAACGAAAAAAAAATTGTCATATCAACAGCAAGAACAAAGACATACATCATATGAATCACACTCACACACAATTTTCACGTGAAATGAAATATAATGTGCGTGCACCATGATAAAGATACACAATAAAGTGACTAATAATTACTGCATGAAATGGATTACGATGTTGCAATGCGCAGTGCGCACACAGCCCGTGATACATACAAACACAATGCGAGGTAGAGAGTAGCAAGAAGAAAACGAACGAAATACCAAAGTAAAACGAGAGGAAAAAAGCGACAACGATGATGATGACGACGACGACAGAAGAAACACAAGAAATGAGCGAAAAGAGGCAAATCGACGAAGTGGAATAAAGCGAAGCGCTCAGCGATTTTATTTATCAACCAACCGAGAAAGGGAAGGTTGTGCCTGTCTTGATGGCAAGCACCAACCAACGTCAAGAATATTATCATATTATTATTATTTTTTCGGTGCTCTCTCTCTGTGTGTGTGTGCGTTTGCGCAGTTTTTTTTCTCTCTTCACATTCTGTGCGTTTTTTTTCGTGGATTGAATGCACTTTCTGACTTATGCATTGTGTATGCTGCGCTGGGCCTATACATGAAATGATCACATATATTGTTGTTGCTCTCACTGCACATCGCTTGATTTTGGGTGTGTGCGTGCATGTATGTGTGTGTGTATGTTTGTCGGCATTGGAGCCATCTGCACGGCTTTTTAATATCAAATGCATCATACACACTCGCACCAAATACACATAGAAATATTATATAATATCATGAGCAGTTGTTAGTTATATGCTCGTCATTAGTTTTATTATTATTATAAATCCCTTGATTAGACTCACTGATTAGGGCCATGCAGCGCATTTAAAAGGATCTCTCGGCGTGTTTGCTCTCAATGCGCCCATTAATAAATAGTTGATTTAAGGCTTTTTTTTCTTCTTTTTTTTCCTCAAGTTTCGTTTCATAAAACCAAAATTACGACTAATTCTCTCTCTTTTTGAATCAGCCTGAACATAAAATAAATTACTCGAGTTGGAAAATGATGGTTTTGCTCAGATCATTTCTCAGATTCAAATGTGTAGCCAGTGCTCGGGTTTTTTTTTTGTTCAGGTGAAACCGATATATTTTACATGTTGTGCGTTGTTTCGACCATATTTTTTTTTGCTCTCTCTAGAAAACAAAACGAAGTAAAATGGATGATCGAACAGAGATTGCATTACATATTCTAAACACCACGTTGAATTGTGCGCTATAAAAATTACGTGCACGTTTTTGATTGAGTATGCAAAATATTGTTAATAAGTTTAATTGAAAGTGCTGCCACTGTACTGTCGGCTTTGGGTATATGGGATCCGAAACGAGAGAGAGAGAGAGAGAAAAAAAAACGAGAAGCAAAAGATGAGAGGGGCCAAGCAACGAACAAACGTTCAATTGAGTATAGTCGATGACAGTCGATTTGCATTGCATGTTTTTAAACTATCGATGCTTTTGAGATAGCCACCACAGGATATATACAATATTCGTGAAATGTGATACTCCGTATACCTCATTGGGCCACAAAAACTACAACAACGACAACACATAGCACATAGAATCTATTTACGAATTCACAAGGTGTTTTTCTTCTTCAATATTCACAGCGCACGCGCATCAGCGATTCGAAGCCGAAGCTTGCGCATTCTGGCTGCTGCTGCTGGCAGCAAAGACAAGGTTTTGGTTCTCGGGCGTCACACAAATTCACATAATGTTTACTGACGACAACAGCAACAGCAACGACAACAACGACGACGATAAACTGTTAAACGATGTCACAATTTACCGAGAGAGAGGATAAAGCTCATTCTCTATTTCTTATGTTTTTTTTTCTTCTCCATCGTTGTCGTCTTCTTTTTCTTTTCATCCCGCAAATGATACACGAAACGCTGTGTGCGCTGAACGCAGTTTTGCCATTGTATGGTAATTTTGATACTTTTTCCTTTTTTTTCTGTTTGGCATTTTCCGTGTGTGTAACTTTCGAACAAAGATGCATTTTTCAATTTCAAACACACCAAAAAAAACACACAAACGAAGAGAAGCAGAAAAAAAAACCCGATCGTTGGATGATCGTCTTTAAAATCTCTTTTCGTCCATGTACCATGTACCATGATGCTGCTACCTTAAGTATTTTGTGTGCGCAAGGATACGTGAGATTACGAGAGGAAAAGGGAAGCCGGAGAAAAAAAAGAATGCATTTGGATGTTAATACGCATCGACTTCGGCTGTACATAAAATATTCGCCCGAACGATGGCTGTTGTTGCCAACAACAACAGCACTGTGGAAGAGAGGCAGCACACGAGAAGAAATTTTGTAACCTTCAATAAACAGCTCCTAAATAGCAATAGAAGTCAATTGCATTTACAGCAGCATAATAAGCTACCATTTACATATTTTGTGCACGCACATCGCAGATGTGGTCTCGTTGAATTTTGAACACATTTGTGTATGTGTGTTGCCTTCGATTGCGCTGGGGCCGACATCATGCGCCGAAGAAGTGTGCGAAGAGCTGAGTGAGGAAGAGCGGAGAGCCGGAGATCAAAGGCGAAATTTCATCTTTATTAGTGCACACACAAAAATCGTAATGCGCCTTATGCTGGTAATTACTAAGGGGGCTCAAATGCAAACAATTATGATGAGCTCTTGATTAATGCAATAAGATACTGTTTTCAATCTGTATATGTATGCCAAAAATCTGAATCGTTTCGTTTTATTGAACGGAAATGGATCATCTCGTGCATAGAATGCATTTTACTGTGTATCGCAACGGTTGCTTTTTATTTCGTTATCTCTATCGTTCTGGAAAAATGCTAATAAAAATGCTCATTGTTTTGAAAAAAGAGATTGCGCGCGCGAATCATCATTAACGTTTATATTATGTGGATGAGAATAGAAAAAAAACGTTCGAAATTGTTTTCGTTTCTCTGATCAACTTCTATTCTTCGCCTCTATTCAATACGGATCCGAATGTCTTTTCTTCTTCATTTATTTTTTCCATTTTATTTTTGTGTGTGAGGGAAATTCTTTGTTTCTATGCCTAGGCAATTTTTTTTTCTGTGCCGCGCAAGCGATTCTCGTTCTCTCCCCTTAACAATAAAATCGATGAAATAGCTTGATGGTTTAATTAACTTTGCGTTGTTATATTCTATTCCCTGGATTCGATCCACGGGAAAGTGACGAGCACCCAAGCTCTCGCTCAGCTCAGCCTGGCAAAAGCGGTAGACAGAGAAAGACACACATACACAATCCACACAATCGATCCCAATCCACGTACAACATATTCACGTATTCGCGGAATGTGTATGGAATCATTTAATGCGCGCATATCGTGGCCATGGTTATGGCGAGGCTTAGGAAGAGAGAATCATATGAGAAAATACTTAAAATTTTTAACGGCCATCGTAATTACGTACAATGCAAGTAATCAAGCGAGAACCATGCCAC